TAAGTAATATGGTCAAATCGAGGCAAACATATGTAGTTCATTACATCAACCAGAAACACTCGATCAAACCATGATGCATACCATACAATACGAATATTCTGTTCAAATCCGAGCAAAGATTTGGTGATGATGATACCATTGAGGAACACCATATCAAGAAATAATTCATACCAAATAATTGTTCAAATACGTTTCTCAGTTCATACTAAACATTGTGACGTGTTTATATTCTAGACGAAAACTCAATTAACAGACACTTCATGGTAAACAATTGTTCAAATACTTTGTTTGATTCTGAGGACATCTTTGTAGTTGAATATATCATTGAGGAATATTCAATCAAGCAATAGTTTATAACAGATAACTGTCCAAATATTTTTATCCAATCAAAGTGAAAATTTTTTTTCCATCATGTCATCAAGGAACACTTGATAAAGGAGCTATTCATAGTAAACAATTATCGAAACATTTTGTTTAGATTGAACCAAAAATTTGTAGTTAATAATATCATTAAGGGTCACTCAATCAACAAATTGTTCTTATCAAACATCTATCAAAATATTTTTTTCTTTTCAAAGTCAATTTTTATAGTGAATTATGTAATCAAGGAACGCTCGATAAACGAAGAATCCATAACAAACAATTATGGAAATATTTCGTTCGGATCTTAGGGAAGGTTTCCGCTCGATTATATCCTAGTTAAACACTCGATCATAGAATCATTCCAAAAAAAAAATAAGTATTTAGATTTTTTCTTTAATCAAGACCAAATATTTCTAGTTGATTATATCATCAGGAAAAAAAGCGATCAAGCAATAGTTCATAGCAAACAACTGTTCAAAAATTTCCTGAAAATTGAAGTCAAGATTTGTAGTTCATTAGATGATCGAAGAACGCTCAATCAAGAAATAATTCAAAAGAAACAAAACTCCGAATATTTTCTTCGATGGACAGCAAAGACTTCTAGTAGGCTTTTTTTGTCGAGACACACTCGATCACGGAATTATTCATAAAAAACAACTATTCAATTGTTTTTTGAATTCAAAGTGTAAATATGTACCTCATTTTACGATCGACGAACACCTTGTCAAGAAATAATTCACACTAAATAATTATTCGCAAATTTTGTTAGAATAGAGACAAACATTTCTAGTGGATTACATCGTCAACAAAACACCTGATGAAAGTATGGTTCGTAAGAAATAACTATTCAAATGTACTCTTCCATTCAAGGGCAATATTTGTCGTCGACTATAGCATCAAGGACGACTGCAT